CCTAATAGCACATTTAACTATGCCAGATTAATCAGTTGATAAGTGTACCACCCCCATGATCCAATCACTTTCCAAAAGCCCCACTTTTGAACACATTTTAGATTTAAACTAAAACATAAGTCAATATGTATAATACAGCACATTAACAGATTGAAGGGAAAAAATCATATGATCATCTCAATAGGTACAGAAAAAGCACTGGATAAAATTGAACATGACTCCATGAAAAAACTCTCAGCAAATTAGGTATAGGAGAAATGAAGGTCCACTGAACTATATTTGTGAAATCCATAGCCAACATCGTGCTAAAGATCTGAAAAAGACAAGGATGTCCATTTTCACCATTCCTATTCAACAGAGCACGAGAAGCCTTAACCACAGCAATTAGTCAAGAGAAAGAAATAAAGGGCATCCAAATGGGAAAAGAGTTAGTCAACTTATCTTTGATTGCAGATTATATAATCTTATATCTAGAAAAATATAAAGATGTGATCAAAAAAATGTTGGAACTTATAAATGAATTCAGTAGAGTTGCAAATATAAGATCAACATACAAAAGCCACTGGTACTTTTATATGAACATAACAAACAGAAAAAATCACAAAGGCAATCTCATTAACAATACACACACACAAATCTAGGAATAAATATAATTAAGGAAGTAAAATATATCAAAAAATAAATATTATAAAACACCTGATGAAAGAAATTATGGATACCAAAAAGTGGAAGACCCTAAGGTTGTATGCTGGAAGAATCAATATTGTTGAAATATACATACTACCCAAAGCAACTTATATAAAATTTCTATTAAATGAAATTTCTATTAAAATATCAATGACATCTTTTGCAGAACTAGACAAAATAATCACAAAATTCAATGGAAATAAAAGATAATAGCCAAAGCAATCCTGAGAAGGTAAAATAGCAAGAATCATCACCTAGCTTGAAAATGTACTAAAAAGCTATAGTTATTAAAACAACTTGTTATTGAAAAAATAAACAAACAAAACAAGAAACATATACACAGGTCAATGGAACAGAATAGAAAATCCAAATTGCAGCCAACTAATTTTGACAAAAATGCCAAGAATGTGTACTAGAGGAAGGACAGTACCTTCAATAAATAGTACTGGAAAAAAATACTTATGCAAAAGAATGAAACTAAACCCTCCAACAATCACTACATACAAAACTCAAGTAAAAATGGGTCAAAGACCTAAATGTAAGACCCCCAAGGATAAAATTATTACAAATAAACAAAGAAAACACTTGAAGAAACTGAGACAAGTAAATACATTTTTAGATAAGACTTCAAAAGCACAGCCAACAAAAATAAAAATACAAAATAGTATCACATCAAACTGAAAAACTTTTGCACAATCAACGGAGTGAAGAGACAACCTATAGAATGGGAGAAAATATTTGAAAGTATTTGTCTGATAAGGGGTTAATATCCAAAATATATAATGACTCAATAGCCAAAATACTATTAATCCAATGTAAAAATGGATGAATGACATGAATAGTAATTTTTCAAATGAAAATAAACAGTCAACAAGCATATGAAAAAATTCTCATCACTACTCATCCAGAAAAGGCAAATCAAAACCACAATGAGATATCATCTCACTGTAACTAGTGTGGCTAATATTAAATATGCAAAAAATAACAAATTCTGGTGAGGATGCAATAAAAGGAAAACTTTAATATACCATTGGTGGAAATGTAAATTAGTACACCCATTATGGAAAGTAGTATAACATTTTTCTAAAAGTGAAAAACTGAAAATAGAACTACCATATGATACAGCAATCCCACTACTGGGTGTTTACACATGGAAAATGAAATCATTATGTCAAAAAGATCCCTGCATGCCTGCCTGAATTTATTGTAGCACTGTTCACGAGATAAACAGCTGAGGGGCTGGAGATATAGCTTAGTGGTGCAGCACCTGCCTGGCAAGTGCAAGGTCCTGAGTTTGATTCTTGGTACCCCCCCCAACCAAAAAAAAGATAAATAACTGAGATATCCATCCGTGGTCAAATGGATCTTTCAAATGTAATATACGTACACAATGGAATACTATTCTACCAGAAAAACGATGGAATTGCAACATGGTTTGAACTGGAGGATATTATGTTGAGTGAAATAAGCCAGGCACAGCAAGATAAATACTACTTTGCTCATTCATGGAAACAAAAACAAAGTTGGTCACACAGAAATAGAGAGCAAAATAGAGGTTACTAGTGTCTGGAAGAGGAAATAGTAAGAGGCTGGACAGTGGGTACCAACACAGAGTTGGGAATGTAGTTCTAATTTATATAGCACAATAGGATAATTATAGTCTAAAACAAGTATATGTTTTAAAATGAGTAGAAGGGTAGGCTTTGAAGGGTTTGAACACACGAAAATAATATTTTAGATAATGGAAATGTTAATTGCTCTGATTTGATCTTATCATATTGTATACATGCATTGATACAGTACTGTATTTCATATATAGGTACAAATATACATCCATTAAAACTAAAACAGACATAAACATAATGGTACACACCTTTAATCCCAACACTCAGGAGGCTGAGGCAGGAAGATTGGGATTGTGAAGACAGCCTGGACTGCATAGCAAGCCCTTGTCTCTAAATAAATAGATAATTATTTTGAAAATTTTTAAAGAAATTTTAAATAACCTGTACTAGCACACTAGAGTGCGTAAGTGCAAAAATAATGTTTTAGGCAATAGAAAGTAAAATTAGCTTAAAGAAATGAATAGTTGAAAAGACTTTCAGAGAAAATGACAGATGAGGATGAGCAAAAGTTGTAGAACTGGGAATAATTTTCTTGACAATATGCAGTCAACTCTATAATATATGTGGTATCTACACATGGATGAGTGGAAGGAAGGAAGGAAGAAGGGAGGGAGGCAAGGAAGGAAGGAAGGAAACAAAGGAGGGAGACAGGGAGATAGAGAAGGAGAGGGAGGAAGGAAGGGAATGAGTGGAATAAAAAGAAATTATTGTGGGAAAATTGATCCAACAGTACCCAGGAGCTCAGGGGAAGAAATAAAATTTTATTGAATGCCAGTGAAACCCAGAGAAATAGTCTCCAAAGTGTGAGGAGCTGATTACAGAAAGTTTGTCTCTTTCATAGGGTGGCAAGAAGAAGTTACAAAAAAAAACTAAGATAAGCATAGCTTAAGGCTGTGGTACGATGTGTATCTTGTGGTGAGCACAGCTGTATGTAGCAAAGTTGTTTTTAGTACATTCACACACATTTCAGTTTGATAACAAATGAAGTGATTTACCTGAGTTCAGTGGCAGAGAACAAAATGGCTGCAGCTTTATTGAATAAAATGGCTGCAGTTAGGTGAGGATTTCTTCTTTCAAATGCATAGGAAAGAGAAGGTAAAGGAAGAAAATGAGAAATAAGTTTTAAAAGTCAAATTTTATTTATTTATTTTTGGCTTATTTTGTTTTGTTTTGTTTAGGTAGGGTCTTGTTTCATAGTTCAGGTTAGCCATTGCCCAGCCTGACCTTAGCTCAGGTTGGCCTTGAACTTGTGGCAATCCTCCTACCTCAGCCTTCCAAGTGCTGGGGTTACAGGAAACCACCACCACACCTGGCTGAAAAGTCATATTTTAAAATCATAAGATTCAATTTTTATTTTTTTTACCCAAAGTCAAAGTAATGATTGCTTACTGGGAGTTGCTTGGAACTCATCTAGAATGAACTGGCAGTTCTGGTTCTGTTCTTAATGACACTGAGGATATGTCACAAGCATTCCTCTTATAAAAGAACCTTTTCTTAAAGAGGTGGAGGAACATTCTTTGGTGAGGATTTGGATGTTGCCAGAGTGGCATGCTGCAAGTATTGTTCAGTATTTTTCAACTCTGAACATTTTCTGATTCTGCTACTGGGGCTTCAGGGAAAATCCAAGTGTTAATATAGTCAGTGATTCAACTCATCTCATCCTGGCAGATGGTTTGTGACTACCACTTTGGCTACTACTTTAGTGCCTGGATCACCTGATATGTACTAAACAAATATGTACCAAGGAAGAGATGGGATTTGCTTAATTTCTCTAAATCAAATGAAATTGCCTTCATTATGAGAGATTATGAAATCAAAGCAATAAATTAAAAAGAAGTAGTGTTTCATCTTCTAAGACAAAATCTACAGGTAAGAATAGTTTAAAATAACAGGACCCAAAATGCAGATGTGTGGGAAATATAGACATTAAATACTTGTTCACTGATTGTTTATCTAATTCTTCTTATCATCTCAATTCCTAGGAGAGTGCCTTGTACAGAATAGGCATCAATGGCCTAACGCATGAGTCACTGGTCTCCTCCTGCTTGGTTTCTACAGGGATACATAATAGCTCTACCACAGAATGTATTGCTTTGGATTTCATTTATTTGTTCACTTCATATCTCTACTGGATTTAGATCTAATTCTTCAGGTTAAGAACTATGTCTTCATTTTTGCAGACCCTAGTCTAAACCAATGGTCTGTTCTTAAAATTTTGACTAAATTAATAAATATAGTTTGACTACTTGAATATACTCAGATCTTCTTCTTCCGTCACTCTGCCATATACATTTCTCCAAAACCACACACAGTAGCCCTGCTGTCTTGCAAGCTGTATCTGATAGAACATGTATGTATTCACCCATGTATATGAATTCATAGACATGGGTGTATGTGACTGAACACATGTATCTACTGTTTATATCAGACAATATATTCTTTTGATCATGTGTCTTTAAGAGTTATCATGTTGGCAAATGACACAACTGTTTTCTCAAAGTATTATTCAGACTGTAAGAGAATCTGGATGAAGAGAAAAGGACAGAGACTGACTATTTATTATGGTGCTGGGCCACTTCCTTCCTGTTCTGACTCTGGCAGAAACTCAGTGACATCATAGTTGCTTTTTTATGTCATATTGCTTCTCACCAGGTTACTACCTTCAAAAAGAGTTTGTCCTTTAAAGGATTCTTTTAACTGAAATCTCCTTTGCATTAAGATGTGCAATGTGAGCTCAACTTGATTTGTAAAGTGAGAAGATGACTGCATTAAGAGGGAGTGGGTGTGGACTTTTTGGACTACAATGGCCATTTCATGATGTCCCAAAGGCAATCAGAAGGTAAGAAAGAATTTTCTTTAAGTTATTGAAGCAAACAAGGATTGAAATTTAAAAGTAGCATATTTGAGCTAGTTTTAAAATATAATTCTTGTACCTCTGTTTTGTTGGCTTATAAATAAACTATAAAACAATTCTCCAAAAGTAGTAATTTTTAACATATGACTTTCCTATATTAAAACTCTTTCATGTCTATAGGAGATCTCCAGCTATCATACTCTCCACGGTCATGATCTTGATGGCTTTGCCAAACCTATTTTTCATGGCTTTTGCACTCAAACCTAATTCTCTGTTTCAAACTATTCACAATTACTTAAATACAATATATTTCATGTTTTTGTGTCTTGCCTATTACACTGGCTTTCCTTAGAACATCCCCATTATGTTCTCTGTTAAACAAATTGTTATTCTTCATTTTGGAGTACTGGCCTGAGCCTCTATGCCCTAGGATGAGATTACTCTCTCTTTTGGGCCAACATTCTACTTGTGCCATGCAGTAACTATGACATGAATCAATATATTCAGCAATTTTTATTTACATATCTGACAGGTTATGAGCCCCTTCATAGCAGCAGTTGCTATTGATTAATTTTTATGTGCCAAGCCCTGCAACTAGAAAACTAATGAAAATCCATAATATTTTACCTTTTCAATCACTCTTAATGGGAATTATAAACAAAATAATGTTCTTAAGATATAGGAGATACAGTAGAAGAACAGAGAAACCTAGAGCTTAGAAAAAAGATAATAGGAAAAATTTTGCCAAAAGGAATAAAGTTTTGTATGAACAGAAAGCTTTCCAAATCAATCCAGCCTAGCTCCTACAGCTCCAAAGCCTTCCAGAAACCACCCTTAGAATGTCAGCAGGGATTATTTGTGTTTAAACGAGTTCTGCCAGTTTGGTGCAGTGGTGGTGCACGTCTGTAATCCAAGACTCTGGGAAGGTAAGACAGGATGATCCCAAGTTCAGCCCAACTTGGGCAACTTAGATCTTATCACAAAATTAAAAAAATAAATAAATACTGGGGGTATAGTTCACTGCAAAGGTACTGGGGTCTATCCCCAGTACCACACACACACAAAACATCCTGTCACACTTGGTTTTACGCATCTTCATACTCCTTTTTACTTTTTGTTAAATTATAGATGTATGAGGTAGCAATCATTTTTGTCAATGCTTTTATTTATTTATTTTTATTTTTTATTTTTTGGTTTTTCTCCGGTACCAGGAACCAAACTCACAACCTCGCGCTTGCCAGGCAGGCGCTTTTGCCACTGAGCTAAATCCCCAGCCCCCTGTCAATGCTTTTAAACATTTCATGAAGGCCAATGCAGAATTCAAAACTGAGTTGATGAATTTAAGGATGAAGTTGAAGCAACAACCTCTGGTATTTTCATGTAATGCTGAAGTCTATAAAACTTTTGGAAAATATTAACTCATTTTCTCCTCACCACCATCTTTCACAGTGTAGATACAAAAATTTTCTAAATGAAGTATACACAGTGATTGAGTGACTTTCCAAAGTGAAATGGGCAGTAATTAATAAATAATAAGTAAGTGGTAATAAATTAACTAGATTTTCAAACAACTAACTGCTTCAGTTGATACCAGTTTCTGCCATTTGTATGATAATCACCTAGCATAAATTTATGTATACTGTCTTGTTCAACATTACAATAACTTTAGAACATATAGACCATAATTACCCCTATTTCACACATAAGAAAACTGAGGCATACACAGTTTAACTTAACTTTCCTGTGGTGAAAGAGTAAATCAGTGGTGGATCTGGTACTCTAATCCAGTTTTTACTTCAGCATTCAGGTTTCTTAACCACTCTACTGTACAAAGTGTTCCAAGTGCTGAGTAACACTAATATTCTGGGTCACACATCCCATCCCATCCTATCCTTTGGGGAAGGGAATGGGATGGAAATACAAACTAGTACAGATAAAATTACAAAAGACTAATGATAGCTTCTCCCTTCTTCTTTCTAGTTCTTTATATATCCTAGATATTAGTCCTTTGCTGAGTAACTGGCAAAAAAATTTTCCTGTTCGGTAGGTTGTCTCTTCACTCTGTTGGTTGCATTCTTTGCTTGTACAGAAGCTTTTTCTTTTTTTCTCTCTCTCTCTTTTTTTTGACATAGGTTCTCGCTATCTAGTTTAAGCTGGACTTCAACTCACTATGTAGTTCAGGCTGGCTTCAAACATGAGACAATCCTTCTGCCTCCAACTCCAAAGTGTTGGGATTTCAGGCATGCACCACCACATCTGGCCCAAGCTTTTAGATTTGATATAATCTCATTTTTTGATTCTTAATGTTATTTCTTGTCCAACTGGAGTTTCTATTCACAAAGTCCTTACCTGTGCCTATATCTTTAAGAGTTTTACCTATTTTATCTTCTAGCACACTGTGTTTCTGTTTTAATATTTAGATCTTTGATCCATTTTTACTTTAGTTTAGTACATGATGAGAGATGTAGGTCCAGATTCAGTTTTCTACATGTGGATAACCAGTTTTCTAAGCACCATTTGCTTTTTATCCTTCCTACAATGTATACATTTCACCTCTGTGTCAAAGATTAGATGGCTGCCTGTGTCTGGGCTTGTTTTTGCATCCTCTGTGCTGTTTCATTGATCCACACGTCTGTTTCTGCACCAGCACCGTACTGTTTTTATCATTGTAGCTTTGTAATATAACTTAAATTCTGGGATTGTGATAGCTCCTACTTTACTCTTGTTGCCCAGGATTGCTTTTGCAGCTGTTAGTTTTTCAATCATTGCAGATTGGTAATATAACTTGAAATACAGGACTGTGGCACCTCTTGCTTTGCTCTTATTATCCAGGGTTGTGTTTGCTATGCAGGGCCCCTTCTAATTCAATATTATTTTTAGGATTATTTTTTGTAGTTCTGTGAGATATAGGGTAGGTGTGTTGATTGAATTTCATTAAATGAATATATCAGTTTTGGTAGTATGGCCATATGACAATATTGGTTCTGCCTACCCAGGAATGGGGAATAACTTTCAATTTTCTGATGTCCTCTTTGACCTCCTTTTTCAGAGTTCTATACTTTTAATTTTATATATGTTCCACTTCTTTAGGTTAATTCCTAAGTAGTTAATTTTTCTTGAAGGAATGATAAGTGATATTGTTTTCCTAACTTCTTTCTCAGTTAGTTCATTATTGTATAGGAACACTACAGACTTTTGTGTGTTGATAAGTTACCCTGCTACATTGCTATATTTGTTTATCAGAGTTCTAGGAGTATTGTGGTGAAAGTGGGGGGCTCTTTTATTTAAAGGAGCATGTTGTCTGTGAATAGTGATAGTTTGACTTCTTTCCTATATGTATCACATGCATTTTTTTCTCTTGCCTGATTGCTCTGGCTAATATTTTGAGTGCTGCATTAAACAGAAGTAGTGATAGTAGATATTTTGTCTTATTACTTATTTTAGTAGGAAAGCTTTCATTTTTTTCACATTTAATATGAAGTTTGTAGTAGATTTGTCAAAAATGAGTTTTCTCCAATTGAGATAATGTCCTTCTATCCCTATTTTCTTCAACGTTTTTATTATGAAAGATGGTTAAGTTTTGTCAAAGGGTTTTTCCACATTTATTGAGGTGATCATATGATTTTTGTCCTTGCTTTATTGATATGCATATTGAACCAACCTTGCATCCTTGAGATAAAGACTATTTTGGTCAAATCTTTTTGATGATTTGTTACCATTTGTCAGTATCTTGTGCAGGATTTTTACATCTATGTTCACTAAAGAGATTGGCCTGTAGTTTTCTCCAACTCACTTAATTGTTTTAAAAAGTTATAATAGATCTTTTAATCATCATGTCTTCAAATTTATACTCCCAAATTGTGTACAATGTTAAAAGTCTTTTGTACTTTTACATAACTTATAGAATTAACTTGTCAATTTCAACAAAAAATCTTGCTTGTATTTGATTGGAATTGCATAGTATCTATAGATAAATTGGGAGAAAGTGATACTGTAACAATAATGTGTTATCTCATGTATAAACATGACACACTTTTGCATTTCTCGAGTCCTTCTCAATTTCTCTTAGTATTGTTTCACAGTATGTGGTGTACAGGTCTTAGCATTTTTTTGGTATACTTATTTCTATATATTTTTTGCTTTCAGGTGCTACTATGAGTGGGATTTTTCAATTTGATTTTCCAATTAGTCATTATTTGTGTAAGTCAATTTTTGTGTCATGACCCTGTATCCTCTGAAGTTACTGGATATTAGTTCTACTAAATTTTTAATAGACTCAAAATTCCTCATATGGTGGATTATGTCGTCAGTCAATCAATAGATTTACTTCTTTCTTTCCAATTTGTATCTTTTTTTCTCTTCATAATCAAACTTCCTAGGGCCTCTAGGAAAATACTGAAGCAAAGTAATGAGAGCAGACTTTTATTTCATTTCATTTTATTTTCTATTTTTTTTGCTTTGCCCCAATTTTGGAGAAAAAGTATCTGATTATTCTCATTAATATGAAGTTTTTTGTATATACTTTTTCTTTTGATAAGAATGTTTAACATAATCAGGAATGGTGGCATATGTCTATAATTCCAGTACTCTGGGAGGCTGAGGCTGAGCTTGAAGACTGCAAGGTCAAGCCTAGCCTGGATAGCTTAGCAAGACCTTGTCATAAAATAAAATTAAATATTTGGAGGTATCTCATTGTATAGGCTCTGGGTTCAAAAGTAAATATTTAACTTGTTACCTATTTTTTAAAATTTTTAAGTGTGCAATACAGTATTGTTAATTATAGGTACAATGTTGTACAACAAATCTAAAAAACTTAATCATTTTGTGTAAATAAAATTTCATACTCACAGAATGGCAGCTATTTTCCCATTTCCTATTCTACTCTTTGCTTCTACGGGGCTCACAAATTTAGATTTTGACACCTCCTGTAAGGAGAATCATGCAGTATTTGTTTTTAACTACCTCAAGGAAAATATTAGCCAGAG